TTATTTTATTTTATTTTTTTATTTTATTTATTTTATTTTATTTTATTTTTTATTATTTTATTTTATTTTATCATTTTATTTTGTTTTGTTTTATTTTATTGTATTGTATTATTTATTTTATTTTATTTTATTATATTATTATTATTTTATTTTATTTTTTTATTTTATTTATTTTATTTTATTTTATTTTTTATTTTTTTTATTTTAGGGGCTGACCAACCAGCCTGCCAAGCTCATCCTTGCCCTCATCCAACATGGCGTTCCCCCTTGTTACCCCAAACAGCTAAACCCGGCGCCGAAGCTAAAATCCTTGTCCTCATCCAACATGGCGTCCCCCCATTGTTATCCAAAACAGCTCAGTCCGGCGCAGTCGCGTTTTTCTGGCGACATGACGCGATCTCTTGCCCTCACCCAACATGGCGCCCGGCGTCTATATAGCCCGGAGGCCGCAAGGGCTTTCCTGAGTCACGGTGAGTTGCCCTCACTTAACATGGCGTTGGCCAGTCTGCTGGAGCCGCAATTCCTCTCGAATGGGCCCGGTTTTTTCGGCCCCCGCGGTGGGGCGAAGATGTCCGGGGACCTGGCGTTGGCCGCCCCTTACGCCGGGCTGACGGCGGGCGACGCCAAAATCGAGCTGGAACACGGTACCACCACCCTGGCTTTCAAGGTAGGCCGGCCGCGGGGGAGGCAAGGTAGACTTGAGAGGAGCTGGAGGCTCTACGGAGCTGGCGGGGGGGCACCCAGAGCCCTGCAGGGCTGGGAAACCTCGCTAAAGGCTTCACAAAAGCTCCGAAATTGTGTTTTGTTTTGTTTTTAAAAAAATCAATTGCTCTTGCACTAGTTTTACAGGTAGTCCTCGATTTACGACCACAATGGAGCCTCTGTCGCTAAGCGAGGCAGGGGCCGAGGGAGCTTTTGCCCTGTTTGACGACTTTCCTTGCCAGGAGTAGTTGTGTGAATCGCCACAGTCCTTCAGTGAAAAACAGCGTTGTTAAGTGAATCCGGCTTCTCCCCCCTCCCCTCCCATTGACTTTGCTGTTTGGAAAGGACAGAGCGACGGTCGTAAGTATGAAGCAGTTTGCCAGGCAGGCGTCTGAATTTTGATCCTGCTGCAAAGGGAGTCTTAACTTAAAAATGAATTGTTGCAGGTTGAGGACGACCCAATCCATTTAGCAATGGTTCAAAGTTACGACAGCACTAAAAATGGGGCTTTACGGGCGTCGTTTTTCACACTTACGACCGTCGCAGCGTCCCCATGATCCAAATCCACACGCTTGGAAGCAAATTCAATATGCAAACAACACGATGATTATCAAGCACTGAGAATTGTATTTAATAGAAAATCATTTTTAAAAATAAAAAAAATTCAGATGCTTGGCAACTGACTCCTCTATTTATGACGGTTGAAGTGCCCCGGAATCATGACTCCTCCTTTTGCGACCTCCTGACTAGCGAACTCAATGGGGAAACACACGGATTCGCATCGTGGCTGCAGCGATCAAGTTACTTTTTCCAACCTAACCATTGGGGTACGGTATCATCGATAGGCGGATGGTACCCAACTTTTCATCTCTACCCCAAGTCACCCCAACGAACCCCTCGACGTGATGTCCCGATGCCTGGAGGTCGTGCGGATCTGGACGGGGACGAACGGGCTCAAGCTCAATCCCTCCAAGACTGTGGTTTCCGTCATCCCGATTTGTGCATCTCGTTCCATCTTTGATGATAGGGGGATAAACTTTACCACCCCTCCTCAGAGAGGGTCCGCAATCTGGGAGTCCTCCTGGATACGCGGCTTAGTTTAGACGAACACCTGGCCGCCGTGACGGGGAGGGGGGGGGGGCTTTTACCAGGTTCGCCTGGTACGTCAGTTGCGCCCCTTCCTGGATCGGGATGCTCTGTGCACAGTCACTCA